GATGGGGGAACTCACTAAGCTTCGTGCTTACGGTTTACAGTTTTGGTTTCAGGTACTCGTTTTCAAAGGAAAGGAGCCGGCTTGATCGCAGCGCATCATACTATGTTTCCGCACATGAGATCTTTGGGATTACACTCTGATATGGTTTTATGATAAAATGCTTTGATTATTGACACTTTGGTTTTGACATGAGATATGAATATGAATGTTTTATTACTGATGGTTTTATATTATAACTTAATCAAAACGAAATTTTTGGCCTTGAATTTTGGGATGTTACAGATCTCTTGTATTTAAATCCATTTGTATACTTTATAGAGTAATAATTATACTTAATTAATTATTTAGTAATGTATTCTTGTTACCCGATAGTATCATAAACTAAGTCTGTCATAGTTTATATGCCTTTAAGTGTAAAACCGTGTATTGAAATCCCAAACTATACCTATTATAGTTTGTAGGTAGGTTATGTACTTGGTTTGTGTATTGATCAGAAAACTATGCAATTATGCTTATAAGTTGAAAACGTCCCTTATGCTCAACATGTTACAAAATGGATAAAATGTCTAAATATTTTATAAAATGTGGAAACCGTATGGTTGTATTAATTGCATCAGTTTTAAGTGTGTTGAAATCCTTTTTGTATAAATTCACAAAATCATTTGTGTTTGGCTTGTATTCCCCCTGAAAATGTTAAAAATAATAAAAGCATAAGGGTATGAACTCACTGTTAGTTGCGTGAAAGTGTCAGACAACGAAACTGTGAATGAAGACCCTTGGGTTGATGTACGCGGCACTAACGGGACCCTAATAACAATTAAATACATATATGCATATTATTAGTGAAACCATTATTTATAGTATTGGAAAAACACTTGCTTTTGGTTTAGGAATGTTACCGGGACTCGATTGAATCGGAGAAAGCGAGTTTTCAGCCAAGTTCACGACTTAGGAAGGTTTGCGGCCGTGAAGGGGATTACGGCCGTGAACTGTTCTCGGCCGTGAACAGCCCCTTGAAGGGTTTACGGCTGTGAACAGTGTTCTTGAAGGAAATATGAATGTTTGAAGGGTTCACGGGCCGTGAACAGATTGCGACCCTTGAAGGTTTGAAGATTTGAAGGGTGTACGTCCGTGAACTCAAGAACAACAATGTTTGAATCGATGAAAAGGCTGGTGTTTGATGCTCCAAAACGTGTTTTAAGGTGGATGGAGTGATAGATGAAGAGAAAACTTGAGAAATATTGGGTTTTCGGGTGGGGGATTTTTAGAGAGAGAAAGTGTGTTTGCTTCCATAAAAGTATGAATGAGGGTAGGAACCACGTATTTATAGGCTGGGTGGTATGGTCGGTGTTGGGGTCCACCCACCTTGAACGGGTTTACGGCTGTGATCGGGTTCATGGCCGTGAACACCACTCAGGCCGGAAACCGCTGATTTTCGAAGGAAATTCAGGGTTTCGCGTGATTTTGTTTCCGACTCTTATAAAAAACGATCTTCTAAACTATAAGAATTTAACGGAACAATTAAAATTCGTAATTTATTTAACAAAAAAACGACTAACTTTAAAGGAAAAAGTCCGGGTTGTCACAATCCAACTCGACATAATACACATAATTAAAATAGATATGGAGATGTGATATAACAATATTGACACTTTGGTTCATGTGAAGGATCTGATAATAGCTAATTGTCCTTAGCACATTCAATGATGATTTCACAATCATCACATTGTACAGAATAAAAAAAGTTACTTTTCCTAACTGATCTGTTTACAAAGCTCATGCCTTGTGCTAAACATGATGATCATGTTGTAGATTTGATGTAAATTTTAGTATTTTAGACATTGCAACATTAATCAAATGTATTTTAAGCTAAGAAGGAATATACTTGGTGTTTTCATGAATATTACTATGTTCTTTATTATCATGTTTTTATCCATGAATAACATTTGATTATTATAAACATCCATAATTGATTTTGTTATAAGAATAAATGTGAATTAAGGAAAATGTGAATATTCGTAAATATTCATTTTTGGTTAATATGTTTCTTGCTGATAGAAAATTTTCACATGCATTTACTAGAAGTTAGTATTTGATTAACCCAATCTCAAGATGTCAAATATGGTTCAGTGTTATTAGGTGAATCTTGAATGTGTTTTTGTCTACATATCCTTCGACATGTGTTTACATGAGATATATGTTGAATTTTGAATGAGTGGATCATTATTAAGAGATTAAGGTAACAATTGTTGAAACCCCATTTACCTTTTCCTTCCACCCTCTTGGTCGATAACACAGGTACCTCCACACTCAAAACCCTTTGTGGTTTGTAACATCTGGTTTTGAGGCACTTTCATTGTTGACCCTTATATTGAGATTTAGTGCATATTGGCCCTTAAGTAAAAGAATGAGTGCAAAAAGGGCCTTAGTGGCATTTTCGTAAAAAAATGAGACTGTGGGAGTACGTTGCGCGTACTTGTGTACGCTAAGCGTACTAAATCCTGCCTTAGTATGCTGGCGTACACCTCGTACGCATGGCGTACATGAGATTCATGAAAACCCTAAGTTTTAGGGTTTTGGCTCATATTTAAGCATCATTATAGCCTTACATCTCATTCTTATTCAACCTCTTTCTGTGGAATCGACCTTCAAGCAAACCCTAAGAGCAAGAGTGCATTTTGGAGCCTTTAGAGAGTTTTGAAGTGTTTTGAAGAAATAAGAAGGTTGTGAGAAGATCTTGAAGTTTGAGAACACTTTGGATCTGTGATTTCTACCTTGATTGCAACCTCCAGGAGGTATAAAGCTTGGAACTTTACCACTCCATCTTGTAGATCTAGACCTTATACTTTTTAAGTCACTTTTTAGTCCTAAAATGGTGATTCTTGAGCATGGCATGCTCTTAACCCATTAACTCGTCCTTTCAGACCTTAAGAAGAGTCTTGAGTCATAAAAATGGGGTCTTAATGGTTGGTTTTGTTCCATGTGTTCTTTAGAAGGTCTTAATGTATTAAGATGTTGAGTTAAGCACTTAATGGACATGCAAAGTTATAAAGTTGGAAACTTTATGACGATTTAGCCTTGGATCTGGAAATGGGACGTAAGAGCTTAAGGCATTAAGCTCTTAATGGAGTTTGGGAAGTCTGGGCATACGCCCTGTGTAATCTGAGTACGGAACGCGTACGTGGTCAACGTCCTCGATTATCGTCAATGCTGGAGTACACCCTGCGTACGTTTGGATTACGCCCCGCGTACTCGTTCTGTGTCAACTCGGCTGAGTTGACTCAGCTGGGTTGACCCGATTGGGTTGACTCAGTTGACTTATGGATTTTGATCAATTGTGATTTTGATTTTGACCAAGTTTAACCAAGGGGTATTTTGGGTATTTGGTTGGTATCTGAGAATTGGTCTTTTGGATGGTGTGTGAGAATTTGGTATTTTGGATGGATAGGTGTTGGTTAGAGCTGAGATTTAGAGTCAGGACCTCATCGGCTATTGATCAGATTGAGAGTTGAGTTTTCCTCACTGTAGTTGCGGGTCGAAGGCACCAAGGCCGGCCCATTGGATTAGATATTCTATTATGTGATAGTATGTTATTGTGCTGTAGTCATCTGTTAGATCGGTATCATGATATATAGGATGATGCTATGCTTCGTGATCTATAGACCTGTCTGATTGTCCGTTGACTGGTTATATGTGTTTATCTGTTATATATATGTCGACATGTTATGTATGGTTGGGTTGAGGCGACTGGTGTAGACAGAAGGCTAAGAGACCCAGGGGGCCCAGATCGACTGAAGGCCTGAGAGGCGTACCTGTCAGGCCGAAGGCCTGGAGGTTCAGATAGGCTGAAGGTCCGGTGAGTCATGCTGAAGGTTCTGTGAACAATCCAGATAGTTTGTAGGCCCGACACGACGTTCCAGTCAGACTAAAGGCTATGTATGAATGATGTTGTTTGTTATTATGTTTATGTGGTGGTCCTTTGAGGGAAACTCACTAAGCTTCGTGCTTATAGTTTTTGTTTATGGTTTCAGGTGCTTCAGAGGACCGTGACAAGGCGAATGCGTGACCGTACACATCCCGATTTTTATGTTGATTGATCTTGGGAGACTCTGATTTTTAAATAATCTCTTGGAAACAATGGTCTTGTAAACACTTTGACTAGTAAATGGGTCGTTTTGAAAGGTTTAAATTTTATTGAAATTTTTAGGATGTTACATGGTTTTTGATTTTACAAAAAATATGAAGAAGGTGGTGTCTTTTCTTAGTAATTGAAGAGCTAACATTCACTTGGTGTTTCTAGTTTGCTTTTATGGATACCCATGGAGTCGTTTAACATTTTGGAACAAAGTTAACATCTATACCAAAGGCTTCATCAATATCGGCTATCAAAGTAGTTTTCTAAGTAACCTATAATTTCCAACATAGCCATATATTCGTTCTCATATCACCTTCATCTTGTCAACCGCTTGTTGCGTTAACTCCGGTTACACATATGGTCTCTCCGCCTCCGACCAACAAGATGACATTCTACATTAAATCGAATTTGACTATTGGGAATTCGTTTATTATAAAACTGTTTCTGTTTCCGCTGCATTTTCGGTTTGCTTATAATCATTTTTAAGTAACCTATAATTTCCAACAAAGGTATCTAGTCGGTTCCACATAGGGTTTCTCACTGCCTCCGGCCAACAAGAAGGCATTCTACATTTTCCCGCACAAAGTTTAGTAAGGTACCATTTTGATATTGGAATGGTAAACTCAAGATTAGATGCTAGATGGCATAGAACATATGGCACATGCAATGATCCAAATATGGCCGTTCCCAAAAAGTTTAGTAATTAATGCGGTTGTTAATTCTACATCCTCCATCCAAAATATTCCTATTATTATAAATAATTTACTTAATTAATGTTTTTGCTTATGTGAATCAGCAAATTTAGTAAATTATATATGCTCTAGCATACGGATTGACTTATTTAACACAATCCCATCTGTTGAAGATGGACTTTTCATCATCATCCCAAGAACAGTATTCCGTACACAAAGAAGTTACAAAAACAGAGAGAACAGAAGAAGGCGAGAAGGTAAAGCAATACATTGGTATTCGAAGGAGGCCGTGGGGAAAGTTTGCTGCTGAGATACGGGATTCAACCAGAAGCGGAAAGAGGGTTTGGCTGGGGACATTTGACACTGCAGAGGAGGCAGCATTGGCATATGATCAGGCATTGTATTCAATGAAGGGACCTTCATCTGCACTCAATTTTCCGGCTGAAGATGTCAAGGCGTCTTTGAAAGGAACCAATTACTACTGCAATAAAAAGGATGGGGAGTCTCCTGCAGCTGCTATAAAGGAGATGCATAGGCTTCGTAGAACGTCGTTGTCATCGAGTTCGAGAGAAAAAAATAAGCATCAAAAAGACTTGGTGATATTGGAAGATCTAGGATCTGATTTGTTAGAGGAGCTTTTGAGTTCATGATGATTCTTTTCTGAAAGAGCAAACAAAGTCATGCATCTATACACACCACATGGCTTTAGAAACCTAAGAAGTGTCAATCCGCGAGAGGCTATTTTAAATTCTTGATTATTTATCTACTTTTCTGATTACGTGTTATTTTCTTCAACCCTTGATTCTTCTTCTGTTCGTTCATATCTTCAGTTATAGACGATAATATTCTGGTTACAGAGAGCAAATAATAATAAAGGTCCATCTACTTGCAATAGTTGATATATACTATCTTATGAAGTTTGTTGTAGATTTAAATTTTAGGTTTTAATACTCGTTGAGCCTATAGAACTTAAGTGAATAAGGGTTGATGCTAATTTTCCTAGCTAGTCATTGAAAAAATCGATTAGGGTTGGAGTTTGGATTAAGCTAAGTTATATAAATACACACGAGATGGTTGAGACCAAAATACCAGAGACAGAAGACATGAAAACCTACTTTGAAGTAGATGTTAAGAGGGATGATTATTGATAAAATGAAGGTTGCTGCAGCATGGTGGCGTTTGATTGTAGTGTTAGCTCGTTTAGTTGGATGTCGAATAGAAGTAGAAAACATAAATTTGACTGACCCGATCTTCAGCCCCTGTAAACTCGTTTCCTGCTAATCTTTTCGTTTAATGATATCTTGCCGTTTCTTAACAAGAAAAATGAAAACCTACTTTGAACAATGTTTTGGGAGGGACAATGCAGATATTGAAATACAGCGATAAGTTTATAGCAAACCCTTTTTTCGTCTAGATGTACTTGAAAAGAAAAAAGAAACGAAAACTTGGATATAGATAATATTCGATTTAGAGATATATCGAAGATATATATCTTAGCTAATTAACTGTTTAACTGTAAAATCAAAAAGGATATAAAAGGTTTATTTACACAATTATTTGTGGCTTATACCCTATATTAGGTCGTCTCCTTTCTCTTTTATTGGAATTAATGAGAAGTCACCATTAGATTTGTAAGTTGAGATTCCATCTTGTCTCGCTCCATAATTGAAGAATCATACTTAATAAATAATTGAATAAGCAACCAATTAAGGGAAGTTTAATAGTTGAAAGTTGGAAAACCATTAAGACTACTCATTTATGTCAGTAATCACATTAGTTAATCTGTATCTTGTCTGTGTACAGTAATGTACTGCTATAATTAGTACTTTTGGAAAAAAAACGAATCAGAATACTTTCCTAGTTTAGATATTTTTTCATAGATTTAAATGCATTTTTTTTGTAAGTGGAGAGGGAATATATGACCTTCAGCTTCTTCCATGTCTAATTTCTTGCTGATATGAACTTCACCAGCAAAGAAAATCAAAAGGTGGAAACCTGAATATGTTGTGAAAGTCAACTTGTTGGAGAGGGAATATATGACCTTCAGCTTCTTCCATGTCTAATTGCATGATAGGACAACTGAGACCCGTGATTCATTATTTTGCAAGTTAATTATTAAATTTTAATAGAGTAATGTATACATGGAGTCATATATCACTAAGAGGAACTCCAATGCGGATTTATTTTGGAACTTTTTTATATTTATCTATCACTTATTTTCATTTAATACTATTGGAGTGAATTGTTTTTTATGTATTTATATTGACTACTAAATATATATTGAATGGTCAATATAATATCAAACATTAAACATTCAATCTCTTCTACTTTTAATGTATTTTATTTTTACTCCTTAATTATATTTTAGTTTTAAATATTTTTCATTTATTTAACTACTTAATTATTTATATCATAGTTTTTCATTGATGAAATGTTTATGTATTAATTTCTAATGAAAACCTTAATTATAATATTTCATATTAAAATATAATATGTTTAAAGATAACTAATTAAATGATGAAGTTTTTATGAGCATTTTTAAATAGATAAGGATCAATAAGTAAGATTTATAAAAGACTATTGAAAAAGTTTAACCATTGGATGGATCATTTAATTAGAGGTCAAAAATATTTGAAATGAGGTGACAAATATTTTAAGTGATAGGGTAGGTTTACTATTGAAGATGCTCTAAGGACATATATATGACGAACAGACCTAGTCAATACATACATAGCCCTATAGCGACCGGTCGCTTACCATAAAAGTTTAACTTCTTAAGTAATACGAAAGACAACATATGTCGTCTCTATAAGTTACGCCAGAACGATAATAATAAGGCATATTTCCTGAAAAGCTATGGCGACACCATATCATCCCATAAAACATATATTAAAAGTATCTAGATCTTTTATTTAGTTTACTGATATAATAAACAATATATTTTTTGCTATGGTGATGAGTTCTTGTCGCAACAACTTACGTGAGACTTTTGGCGCGTCTCTGAAAAGCTATAACGACGACTTGTCGTTGCAAAAAAAAAAAAACAAAATTTAAAAATATTTTATATTTTATTCAGCGTAATGAAATAATGAAGCGGCATTGTTTTGTTTAGAGCTGTAGCACCTGATTCCTGGTACGTATCTAAATTCAAGAAATATGACAATTTACTCTGGGACTCGGCGAGTTGGGGGCCCAACTCGTCGAGTAGACTCGACTGTTGGATCGGGGGTTTAAGTGACCTACTCGACGAGTAGGATCTGTCTAGACAAAACTCTAATATTTAGGGTTTGCACCCTATTTAAACAACTAAACTCGTCCCAAACCAGCCTCTATCATCCCTCTCACTTCCAGAATACCCTAACTCGAAACCCTAGCCTTGTTTGAGTGCTCTCAAGCCATTTTTGTGCATTTTTGTGTGTGCTTGAAGTTGGAGAAGAGAAGGAAGCTTGGGAGTTCAAGTAGAAGCAAGGAGATCCAGAAGTTTTACTTCATTCTTATCTCATTTAAGGGATTTGGGAGTAGAGACGAGTCGATTCCCGTGCCGAGGACCGTGCAAATACTATACGACATCGAGGTGAGTTACCTTCCAGTAGTGGTGGGTCTACGGCCACAATGCCGCCCCATTAGTAGGAGTTGTATGTTAGATGATTTTCTTTGTGATATTCATCTAGGTTTGCTGCTACCTGTTATGTTTTATGAGCTAGCATGATATGATGTTACGTGATGGTGGTAGTAGTAGGGGGAGATAGTCCCCAAGTTACCGACCGATAGGGCCGAAGGGGTAGTTTAGTACCCAGCTATGCTAGACTATGATTACGTGATAGTATGTGATAGACCGTTCGAGAGGACCGAAGGGGTAGGTGTCACACCCCGAAACCGTGATGGCGGAATCGTTCCGGGGTGGAGGACGTCATGCGTAGTATCACAACAATTGTATCATAGCAAGCATAGTAAACACAACCAGACATTGAATACATATATGAAAAAGTTTACATTGTTTAATATATAGTTTTGTTCATATCAAAAGTAAACTAGAAAGTCGTGACTCTAACGCTCGGACTTCTCCGAACCCCTGGAAGTACCTGTCTACTAATTTCCTGAGAATACAAGCAGTTTTGAAAGAATATCAGCATAAAGCTGGTGAGTTCATAAGCATTTAGTTTTAGAGAAAAATGTTCTTTGATTCTTTTGAAAAGTGTTCCTCAAGAAAATCATATATTTTCTTATGAAATGTATGTTTGAAAACTCATTCCTTCCTTGACTTCCCGGTTCATACAGGATATACACGATCCAAGGAGTCATGGAATGAATATGAATATCCGTTGGTAGAGTAGTAAAATATCAGTTTTAGAAAGCCGGTATTATCCTGGGAAAATCTCATATTTTCGCTAAAAACATGTTATCCGTCCTAGAGATAGAGATGCCAGTTTAGAAATCCTTAATTACTATCAGCATATGTAAAAGTAGTTTTATTACTTAAAATAAAACAAATGAAGAATAGAGTCCGTAAACAAAGTTAGTTTATACTTATTTGTGAGTCGTATAATCATACTTGATATGACTAGAGACCTTTCCAACGTTCTTCAGGCGTCGAGTTAAATGATATTTGTCACCCTGGGCATGCCTGCCCAACTGTAGCTAGCAGTTCGGGTGTGGGATTGTCAGTCCCGAATAGATCTATTCACAAATCTCACGCTCTCCCTCCAGGAGACTCTGGTTATAATGAGATAGGATTTATCACTATACACCTAAGGGTACAGTATTGAAGTAGAGCCTCACAATTCTGTATAATCTAGTTTACTAGCGAGAAATAGTATAAAACAATGATTATCCTTGAATAATAGTACTTTATACTCCTGAGAAAATATATAACATAAACTAAATCTGTCATAGTTTATATATATTCATTTATGAAATCTGATTAGGTAGAGACTGCCTAGAGGGTTATCCCAAACTATACCCATTATAGTTTATTAGAATTTGTATGGAAAATGCTTTGTAAAAACCTTTCTGAAAGCTATGAAGTTAGATTTCCAAAATAATAGTTTCCCTTATGCTCAACATATTACAAAAAGAGATAAAATATCCGAATATGTTATTAAACGTGGAAATCATTGGACTGCATTAATAAGTTTAAAACTTAATAAAATACTTTGAGTTTGGCTTGTATTCCCCCCTGAAAACATTAAAACACGGAAAATGTAGGGGTATGAACTCACCTCGGGCGATTTGAATGAAAGATTGATACGGAATGCCGGATGTTCAAGTGAAGCCTTGAACACGATTTGATCCTAATTAACATGTAATGACACATAAAGGAGTCAAATGAAGGTATTTCACCACTAATTGTGATGGAGAACCACTCTAGGAACTTGGGACTACTTGCACTAAGTGTTAGAACCTTAAAGGATTGCATGAGGGGAGTGTATGGCCACCTTAATGGCGTGTGCGGCCGTGGGTGTGCGGCCCAAGGAGTGTGCGGCCGTACACTCATGATGGAAGGTGTTCTTGGGGTGTTTCAAGGTCCATACTTGCAATCCATGAAGTGTTCTAGGTCTATACTCAGTTGTACTGCAAGTTAGGGGTCCTAGAAGTGGGTTTATGGCCCTAGAATGAGTGTGTGGTCGCACACTTGGGTGTGCTGCCGTAC